CGAGAACGAAGCACGATAGCGACAAGCGGTAAACGGCATCGGATACGCACGGACAAGGTCTACAATTTTTACTAAGGTCATTTTCAGGTTAGGTCAAAGATGACGTCACAGGGGTCGAAAAAGTCAAAATGGCGGCGCTAGATATGGAGAGTTTTCTCGAATAACTTTCGACTTAGTCAAGATAGGAACAAACTAAGGGCATCATCGTGATCCTCTCGTCAATCCGCATCGAATGATATATATATGTTGACCTCGAAAGGTCAAGGTCAAAGGTTGACCTCAGGTCACGTGACCTCGAGGAGGTCATCATGTATATCATTCGATGCGTCTTGACGAGCTGAACACAATGAGACCATCCGCGCGGCTGTATCTTGTTCCTGTACGGAGTTATTGTCAAAAAACTGCTGGTGACCTTTGATGACGTCACATGACCTTACAGCTGCCCAACAGCAAAACAGACCTCAAGGTAGTGAAGGTTGATCGTATATGAAATCATGTATGGTATATGGGGCCATTCCGACCCGTTTTAGTGGTAAAAACAGGGAGTTGATTTTTCCCCCATTGACTTATAATGGGGAGGTCTCGAAATTGACCTGACCTTAGGTCACCGACATCAAAATTCCGAGATATACAAATTGTAGCTACTAATGACCTAATAACATCCTGCGACTTTCAAAGGCCTCCGACATCTACTGTAGCTCTGGCACGGTGACAAAGTTGCAAAAAAGTGACTTGAGGTTGGGTCATTCAAAGTGACCTGGTGACCTGACCTTAAAAGTTAGGAGGTTTAAACTTGCACACCATGTGCAAAATTGATGAGAAAATATACACTGCTCTGACTCTCATATTCGTCTTTTGAAAATGAAGCGCTTGCCTCCTGTCTGTGTAGCTCTAAATTGTATGCAAACAACATTGAACATATTGAACTCGCCGCTTCCGGAAATATATTTGTTTTTCATATTATTCATACTCACTCTGTAGCTCAGTCTGCATTACTCCAATGTGGTCGAATATGAGCTACGCCAATGGCCAATGCCCTCCACCTCTCTCGGCCAGCATTCACAGAGACAGTGACCTCTTACCGAGCCTGAGGCTAAAGAGTTGTTTGACAGAAGCGTAACGGTGGGCAAGAAATTACCGTTTAATTCGTACCGGAATCGTTTTCCAGCGGTGGCGTATCAGCTCTCTTCCACTTGTTGGTGAGTCCTGTCCCAATCATGTCCCCTCGTCAAATAACTACGTGCAGCTGCTTACAAATCTGCCCAGTGTCTCACCTGCTGCCCCTCTCAGCCCCCGCGGAGTTTCTGGTGCCGACGTTTGTCCGCAGACCCTGCTTCCTGCTGCTGTAGCCCATTCTCGGCCCCTCCCCACTACCGGTGAGCCCAGTCACGCTACCGGGCCGGAGTCACAGCCGTCTGGAGTCCCCCGCTCCCGCAGGCATGGCTTCTCATTGCGACCAAACCCGCTCAGTTTGTGGGCCCCGTGCGACCATTTCGCCGGCTAATTTTCAATTTAACTAAGAGGCAAGCAAACGTTAAGTCTTTGATGGCCGGGGGCTCGGGAGCTGGAGGGAGATTATTTCGGGTTCGGGCACGGCGCGGTCGGCCGGCAGGGTCCCGGAACGTCTCTGCCCGGGGGACACGGGAGCGGTGCACCGACCGACCCCATCATGGACGGGCACATGACATGCATGCGGTAACGCTGGATGAATCCCACGGGTCGCGCCGGGAAGTTGGCAACGAGCCAAATCACCGTCCTGGGATTAGCGTGACGAGGAAAAGGATGTGGTTTTTACTGTACAACACGATTTCGGATTAGCGTCTTCCGTTCTGCGAGATAACTAATAAGGAACTTTATTGGTATTTTGTGATGCATGTTGTTTGAATGCTGTGACTTTTTGGGTGCTAGCTCGCTAATTTCTAACATACTAGTCAAATGTGTGATTTCTTGTTCGCAAAACGCTCGTCAGGTAATTACATATATAAAATCACAATTGTCAGGTTACTGCCGATATTTATAAGCTACTAACTGGCAGAATCATGCGAACGTACACAAATCACTCCCCATTATTTCTATATACAGTTTGTTTCCCTTGTGTTAGGTCGAGACAGAAGTCTTCCAAACTACATCAACGGAAGCGGCACTCCTCCGAACTTGTCGCTCATCTGGCCCTCAGACAATAAAACTGCGCCAGAATGCAAGCGCATAAACCAACTTGGAGCCGAGTTAGGTCACGAAATCAAAGTCCTGAGGCTGGACGGAATTCAATTTTTCATTTCATTAAAGCATTTCCTGAACATAGGGCTCGCAGGTTCATGCATACCATTTGACAAAAGTGACAAAGTTGAACAATGGATTTTCTCAAGCTGAAGCCAATCGGTTCCACTTGTGGTCGCGTCTATGGAGCTTTGGTGTGTCCGATTGATTCACTGGAGCATGCGCCTGCTGTTCAGTATTGTATAAGAAGTTTCGAAGCATATTTTGGAGACAGTGAAGAGTGCCTGGTCGTGTCATGTCAATGGATAAATTCGCCGTAGAATCTGCCACGAACTCCTGTGAAGTGTAGAGCATATCGTTTTAAAAAACTTAGAGGCATCCCTTTTCGTAAAGATATAACATGACAGCTATTTCTTAACCTTCGCCCCAGTGCAGTGGGGGGGGGGGGGCATATGTTACCACCCTGTCGCGTTTTTTTGCGTGTGAATAACAAACCGCGGCGAGTAGCGCCGCGCCGCTTGCGGTAGCTTTTTGTACATCAATTTTGGACAATGTGTGAATTTTTTGACCCCAGGTCATGTCAGGTCAGGTCACCAGGTCAAGTTAACTGACCAAGCCTAAAAAAGTTTGCAATCCTCTCCAGCCTGCAGTGTTTGTCACAAAGGTTTGAAGCTTGGTGGATTGCATGATGGTATGGGCACCTATAATTTGCATATTTCGGTTTTTTTTTTTATATCCGTGACGGCCAGTGGCGTGACCTTACCATTATAAGTCAATGGAGAAAAATGAAAATGCCTCTAGATCCGTGTGTACGCATAGGAACAGTCCAAATATTTCAGAATCACAATTATTTGGACCACTCGTGACGAGCATGGTGTTTTATTTTTTGCTGATAGCCTCTAGAAAGGTCATCCGAGGTCATTGAGGCTACAAAAAGATTTTTGCCAATAACTCTCGATTGGAAAGAGATAGGACGCTGGGGATGGCCTTATTGCGTTTGTCTTGTTGAGACGCATCGAATGATAGGCAACATGACATTTTCCAGTCAGATCATGAAACCTTGACCTGAGGTCAAATTTTCAAGTTGACCTTTCTAGGTCAAATTATAGTTCATTAGACGCGTCTTGGCGAGAGGAACACGATTCTGGCAATAGAAATGTTGTGGCTTTGTTGAGTCAAAAGTTATTGTCGAAAAACACTTTTCGTAAAAACAGCTATTTTTGGAGTTTTGCCCTCTGGAGGCTAAACCGTTGACTTGAGGTCAATTTTGATGATGACTTTATCAAAAGAGAAGTGCAAGAGCTATCGATTGCTTTTCAATTCGTTTTTCTAGCAATCATAGTTCCTGAGATAAATGCATGTTTTCTGAAAAATACAATGACATTTGGCAAATTATGACCTTTGGTGGCCTCCAGTGACCCCAATATTGCTCTAAGATGAAAAATGACCAAATACTTTCAAACGTACGCATTGAGACCTATCGACTGCTTTTACTGCGTCTTTCTAGCCCTCTTAGTTTTTGAGTTAGAGGTGGGTGGTAACATATGCCCCCTCCCCCCCCCCCCACTAGGGCGAAATTGGCTGAGACCGCCACTGGGGCGCGGGTTAAACTTCATGTCGCTGCGACGCATTCATCGTACATATGTCTGGGACATTGCTAGCGAAAATTATGATGATATTTCTTACCAACCTTCATTCCCTATGCACCCTACAAAAATGATTAAATTGCATGGTGTTGAGATCTTGCTGTGCTGCTTCCGTACATAACTACCTACTATTTACACAGTGATGTAACGGCTATAATCCGTGCGCCGTCATAAGGGTGACTCACTGCTAAATTAGAGCGCTGAACTCCAACAAGGAAATCGTATTTCGATATGACCATAGCTGTGGCCGTAGATTATGCCAATTTTATGCGCGATAAATTTACGGCTCCTATTTCCATTTAGTTGACCTGTTTTAGCATCATTTCCCGGCATTTATTCATCGTGTTGGGAACGCGTGGCTGGTGACAGAGGTATTCATAGAGCAAATAAAGTTACGGGAATGGATAATACTTATGAAAGCGCCATCGACTAGTGGTGCCAGACGCCAGGAGCTGATATCTGACACTCGTATATCGCTCGTCGCGAATTACTCCCGAGAAAGGCGTGTTTTATTTGCAATGTTTATGCACTATTAGGATGCGTATCAAACAATTTCAAAGTGAATTCCTTCTAGATTGGTTTTCTCCATTAACCGTGAAATCAACAGTTGATTTTGGACTCGTCCGGGACCATAGTTTTCTGTAATAATCCATTTTGGCTGACAAAGTAGACAGAACGGTTTGCTTTGTTTTAAATATCGATAAGATTGTGCGAAAGCCGTCCAAAACATGTCATCAAAACTACATTCGCAAAAAGAACCAGCTAAAACGGTGCACCTTTTCGACGCGTCTGAATGTGATTTTGAAGAGAGTTCCTGTCTCAGGTTCAACTTCCTAAGCCGGAGTTTCGTAGTGACGAGATCCAAGAGGAGATTCTCAATATCAAATCACAATAAACGAGTCAGAAAGATCACTTCTGAACTGCCTCTACAGAAATTCGACATATATACTCCCTCAATGTGACCAGACGTCTCTGTCAGTTACCGTATGCAATAAATCATTCATTCTGCGAGGTTAACGAACCGGTATATGATCCCGAATATCCTGGCGTCTCTGGCCGGGGATAAGGTGAGACCAAAATCAATCCCAGTGCGCGACCGTCCCATCGCAGGCGTGGCTCATGCATAAACCATGGCGGTGAGTGTTGGTACTTATATATACTCATACAGCTGAGATGACGGCTGGCTCCCCGCGGGCCGCTCGTCGTCCCATCGGTCATGTTGTCGCCGCCGACGGAGGCGGGGCGTCGTCACCGACGGCACGCGGAGGAACATGGCACAGGACGCGCGAGCGCCGGCCGCGAGCCGACGCGGTGATTACACCCGGCGGTCGGCAATGCGCGACAACAGAGATGACGCAGCTTATGATGCGCGCCGGTAGCACACGCGGTACACGAGAGCAGTCACGAACGTCATACAGCTACAGATCTTTCGAGACAGTATAGGTTGCCGCTGCCAAGGGATTTTCACATCTGAGCGCGCAAGTCCCGCGTCCTCTAACCGTATACCCAGTGACGGGCCAGACGTCCAAGTCACTACCCGTGACCGTAGACGCCAACAGACGCTCACATGAACCCAACAGCACGGCAGCAGAGCCGGGATCCGAGGAGATGGAGCAGCGGCAGACTTTCATCTGACTTCTGAACAGGAGTGGGGGCGCCGTCTCCCCGGGATGGGAACTTCACGACCCGCAGCACAACGCAGATGCACACGCCTCCGCACATTAGCCACAGGGAGCTCCAAAGGGGATTACGGTTCGCAGGGAACAGGATATACGGGAGATATTACATCAGCCCACGCGAAGTGGAGCTGGGGCAAGGGTTGACACCAACTCTGACGCTGCGGAGGGCGCTTCCCCCACGCCAGGGACAACGCGCTATCTCATAGAGGAAGTCGGCGTTATCTCACAGAGGAAGTCTGCGGACAGAGTCTCGCCACTCGCGCAGAGCACTATCAGGAGCGGGTCACGATTATACCTGTAACACTCGTCGTTCAACACTCTGTCGCCTACCAGCTGCAAACTCAATTCGCCACTCAACCAGTCGAAGATCTTAAGGTCTTCTGAGGAACCGTCTTCGAAGATTTATCTTCATAGATGTCCTTTACGGAGGTGAATATCTAGACGATTCTGCAGCGGCCCTCAACAGATCTTTTTTCCACGACTGGGTGGCATCTTCACTGAAGATATCCCGACACCGAACAGTCATAAGTCCACCGACGTTCTATCGTCAGACAATAGTTATCTCTTCACACCAAGCGTTCCTACCCTCAGTCTCGTGAGCGGCCACCTTGCCCGACGCTGACCTCGTGGTGCCCCTCCCTCCACCAGCGGCGGCGGTGGCACATTTCTGTCACACCGTCACAGCCGTTTGTACTAAAATCACTGACGTGGTCCCTACCCCGCTCAACCCTCGGCCGATCCACCGACGACCTCCGTCAATCACGTGACTCGGCCGGTCGCTGCAGTAACGCACGGCGTGGCAGTCACGTGATGCGGTCACTCGCTAAGGTGAACCAGTCACGCCGCGTGCCGGATGGCCAGCACCGAGAGCAGCAGCAGCGGTAGCAGAAGCGGCAGAGGGTCGCGAGCAGCGCCATCTGAGAAGAAAACAAAAACAAAAGGACATTAAAAGAGGTAGTGAATGATGTTAAAAAATGATGCGCAATATGTCATGAGAGTTGCATAGTTATTTCGTGTTTTTTGTGATAGCCGTCGCTGATCTGACATGTGATTGTGATATTGATATGTGATGTGAGAGTTTTTATCCAAACTACATTGAGTAAGCTAAAAAGCACCAGTGAATGCGCAGCGACCACATATTTTAAAAAAAAGTTTCATCATCACAATAAGTGAGAGAGCATATGCTGAGCCTCTTCCTTTGAGTATCTTGTGATAACTTTTGGGGCATGGTTTTCTCCAGGATCTCTCCTACCGCGACCTCATGGCATCATTCTAAGGTTTCCAAGCACATGTTCGCATTTGTAACTCATCATAATAGCCATTTCACCACCCTCTGGGATAGCTTCTAATATTCTTGTAAGTCCCCGATTATCAAATCCCCGGCACCATTTTAAGCGTCCCGTAATTTCCCTGTTTCAATTTCGTTAGAGCGTGCTTGAATCCCGCGAATCCCGGTGGATTAACACCTCCCACGAGGCTGACAGACATATTTTCACGATGTGACGGCAAATCCCGCAGAAACGGCACCCCATGAAGGTCGTCTCACGCCGCTATCCGATGTTTTGTCATTATGTTTTGAACTGACATGTAAATGTTAATAAAATATCTTCCATCCTCCTGTGGCAATCATTTATTTAAGTCCCATTGTTCTAGCATTTGCTGCTTAGTGCTTATCCTAGGTTCCACTTCTCGTGATCAGGTTAAATCACTAAAATTGTTTTAACAAGGTTTCGCCAAGGCTTCACGGATGTAGAAAACGACCGACTACATTTACATCCATTTCTCAAATCAACTAATCATCACTTTTTTACTTTTTATCCATTAAAGGGACTATCCCACCTTCTAAAATGTTGTTAAAACCAGTTAAATTGTGCCCGACTTTATAGATTGGATGACCAGGAACACGGTTCTGGCATTTATTTTTCATTAAACATCTTAGGCTTCCCATATTCCAAACACAAACTTTCAAATATGTGACGTCACAGCCCAAAATTACCTCCTTCCCCAGGCCACATTACTGTCATAAAGCTGATTCTTTTTACTCTGTAGGCACCACAACAAAGTTCAGACCAAGTTTTAAGCGATTTTTCAACGAACAAACCCATTTAAATCAGAATGACTAAACGAGGTGACGTCACACTAACGGTCGCTCCATGTTGAAGATAGGGCCTTGTACTCGTACAAGGCCCATTTTCAAATGAAGGGAACGAATTTCTTCAACACCAAGAGGCCGCGGGGGTTGCAACCTAGATAGATAGTGGTTTCTGAACCTCGCCGCAAACTTGGCTATCTCAACTCAAACCCCCTGTTAAAGGTGGGATAGTCCCTTTAAAGTGCAGTGCTTTTTAATGTTGAATAATTTGGCTTTCTAACAATACGCATCACCAACAAAGCCAAAGAGCTTCTAAAAAATGAGAGTAAATCGTCCTATGCACTATTAGATATGACAATAAGACATAGAACGAATCACTTCGCGAGTGCACATACCAGACAATATTGTCACCAATAACCATCAACTGGGCTCATAGTCAGCCGTGCGCTCGGCGCCCTTTGACCTCTACACGGCGCATTACCAACTGAATGTCGACTGCACGGCCGGTTATTGCCATTGACAACAAGTGGCACGTCACCGGACGGTGTCGCTATTGTCGCTGTGGACCGCCGGGCAGCCCCCGGCCGGCCAGCCACCATCGGGCCTTCCCGGCCGGCCGGTACGCACTGATTGCTACACGAAACGGACCGCGCGGATCGCAGATGTCATCAAATATGATGGATGCTCAAAGACCATATCGACCCCGCTCGTGGGCGGTCAATTCACTCACTGCGTCCTCACAGGGGCACAGCTTGTCCACAGCGCAACCGAGTGCGCAAGCATGCATGGTCGGCCTGCTTATCGCCGAAGCACTGCGCCTGATGGGAAATTAGCGCGAATGAAATGCTCGTCATCGGCGATGGCTGTGCCGAACAGCGCTGTGTTCCGACTGCCCGTAGTAGACACTGGTCCGCTAGCCGGGCTACTAATGTCGGCTGTTTGATTGGCACCGCGACTGCTGTAGCGTGCGGGGGACGATCGACTTTGCATGCCGCGATGTCCGGCCGTCAGACCGACAGTTATGCAGTCCGTTCGACCGTCTGTCTGACCGCGCGACGGGCCCACCGGGTGACCGACAGAACGACAAAACGTCTGATTGTTCGTTTGTCATGTCCAATCTGTCTATTTGTCCCGTCAATTCATCCGTCCAGCGGTCGTAAGTCCGTCCGTACAACTATCTGTTAGGGCAAACAACCGACTAATCGTGAGAATGACGATATGATTTTTAGTCCTCAATCATTTCATTCTATTTTTATCAATCTTATTACTTCCGTTATTTTTTGTTACGACCGAACCTCTGAGAGTGCAGTCTGTAATCTGTCAGGAGGTCCGTCGATCTGTTTGTCTATTTGACCCTCCTCCCTAGTCCGATTGCTTGTGAACGTAATGCCACCGCGGTGCCATGCATACACTGGCGTCGTTGGAGGTGGTGTTTGACCTTTACCGCTGCAAGCTTTGCCAACAGGCCGACTGAACTACCTTCCGATTGCCGCGACCCGCTATTTCCTCCATGTCCGCTGTCCTTTTGCGTCGAAGCCCCACGGTCGGTTATGAATCGAAGGCGGAAACCAAAATGGTCATGTACACATTTAGGGCGATACGACATCCTGAAGAAGCCCACTGGGTTTTTGCAGAAAAGTGGTTACTTAAGAGAGGGTAGAGGGAGACAAAAAAGAGAGGGAGAGAGAAGTAAAAAAGAGAGGTAGATGGTGGGAGAGAGTATGATGGAGTTGGAGAAAAATAACTTATCTTTATCGATCACTATGCAACAAAAAATGAAACATTTTCTGTTCCTGGAAAGCGACCGAATTTTTCTTATTCATTGGGTCCTATTATAACCGAAATGGGCATTAGTTTTGATCTGAAAATGTTTTTCCGGTTTTCAGAGACGATTTTCGATTTTTGGCCCCGAAATTCGGTTTTTGGCCCACCGTGTTCGATGTAATTGAGTAATCGACTCGTGGTAACTTTCATCGCCTTTCCTATGCCACAAGCTTTCGAATGATATCTGGTTTTGCATATTTGCGTGCAAAAATAACGGCATAAATCAATGTTAAAGTAAGAAAATGTTGAAATTTTGTAAAAATTTGACTTTTTTTCGATTTCATTTCAAAATAGAGGAAAAACTAAAGGCCCTATCCAAATTCTGAGCCCAGTTCCTTGAAGAGCATTCCATTTCCGTTCGGAAGGTACCTTTTTAGTGCATTTTATCGGATTCCTGTGGCGTCCAGATTGAGTTAACCTAAACACATATCCTATGTCATATCACATAGCATTAACCTGATAACGTATGTTAACGCCATAGGATCAACGAGGGGTCAACTGAGGTCATGTTGTTGACCCCTTGTGACCTCGGGTCACACGCAGGAACTTACTTTTGAGCAGTCCTGTCGCTCAGAATCTTGATCTGTACCTCCATTTGTTAGAATGATTCTTCATGCACTGAACACATATTGTCATGGAAATGGCTGGGGGCCCGTTTTCAAGTGACTCAATCTGGACGTCACAGTAAACCGATAAAATGCACAAAAATAGTACCTTCCGAACGGAAATTGAATGCTCTTCAAGGAACTGGGCTCAGAATTTGGATAGGGCCTTTAGTTTTTTCTCTATTTTGAAATGAAATCGAAAAAAATGTCAAATTTTTACAAAGTTTCAATATTTTCTTACTTTAACATAGATTTATGACGTTATTTTTACACGCAAATATGCAAAACCGGATATCATTCGAAAGCTTGTGGCATAGGAAGGGCGATGAAAGTTACCGCGAGTCGATTACTCAATTACACCGGACACAGTGGGCCAAAAACCGAATTTCGGGGCCAAAAATCGAAAATCGTCTCTGAAAACCGGAAAAACATTTTCAGATCAAAACAAATGCCCATTTCGGTTATAATGGGACCCAATGAGTCCAAAAAAATCGGTCGTTACTCAGGAACAAAATGACTGTTGCATAGTGTAATGAGAGGGGTTCAGGCGTTGAGAACAAGTTATTACCTCATATTGCAGGTATTCTATCGTTATGCTAGGCTCATGCACAAAAACTATTCTAAAACAATACATAACAAATATAAAAATGCAATGGCACGTCATAATTTAGGAAAAATATTATAGTTGAAATTAAATAAACTGAGAAAATAGCTCGTTACTGCCAACAAATCAAATCATATGCTTCCCTTAATCCGGACTTCCAGCTCTACCAGACTTATGGAGCGATGTTATAAAACATATTTACGCAGAACTTTTCAGAGAGCGGAAGCAGCTTAAAGCAGGTTACATAACGCAATGGCGCACCATGGAAGCAGAAGAGCATACAAAAGCTGCATGGATCATGACTTATCCAGAAGTTATCAGCCTATGTTCGGTGCTGAGCAGGAAGTGGATGGGGTACTCAGTACTCACTGGAGAAGGGCCCGGCTCCCATTGGCTCGGCCGTTCTTCCCCACATCTCTCGCTCGTGGGTTTTCCAGTAGAGAGCCGATATTTCTGCGGCGCACTTGACCTTGATGCCGCCCTGGCGGAGGTGGCCGTGACGCAGGCGGAACTTGAGCCCGATCTTGGACGTCTCCAGACCGTTCCTGTGCCGTCGGATCGGGTAGTCGCTCACCAGGCTCGGGTCGGCCTGTCGGTGGGGAGGGTGTTAATGACACCTGTGGTGCTCGTTTGACACACCTCGACACGCCCTGACACGCCCTCCTGACACGCTTACTACCGTTCCCGACACGCCCCATGGGACACGTATAACTGACACCCGCGTGGTGCGTCCTCCTGCGATTTGGACACGCACCCAGTCCGCTCCAAACGCCTCCAACGCTGACGTGAGGAGCGCCAGGACCGCGGTCGCGTGCGACGGTCTGCCACTGAGCAACGTTTGGTGACGGGCCCGCCGGGGGCGGGGAGGAGGGGGAGGGCTAGCGACGCCACCGGCCCGGATATGCGAGTTCAGGGCGGTATTACTGTCGTCGGTTGTTAATGACCTGGCCGTCCTAAGCGGCACACTCGACTTGAGACTCAATTACAGTCGGCTCAGGACGATCGGAGGGGATCGGCGGCGGCGGCGACCGATCCACCGCCGTGATCCCTGGACGTTTGGAGGCTCACCAAACGTCCCCCTCCCTCCCTCTGCTCCCCACAAACCGACGGGACGTCTACCGTCGGCGCATCTCTCCCTCCCTCCCAAACGCAGACACCTCTTGCAGGTCTCCCTCGCCAGACTACCGTAGCTCCCATCTTCAATAAATTGTAGCGCGGGTGGTGAACCCATTCAAGTGGGGCAGCGCCGTTCCGACGGGGCCGGTGACCTCAGTAATCGGGTCGTGGTCACGAGCTCTCGCGATGGAGTGAAACCTTTGTGACTGACCCGGCCTCTGGTAAGAACCGTCTGTCGACAGTGATAAGGTGGATTCCCGGTATTCGAGACCACACTGCTACACTCACTCAGGAGGCCCAGATAGCTCGGCGAAGCTTACTTGAGCAGCTCGGTACGAAAAGCTTGGCTGGTATGGCCGAGGAAGCCGGACAGATTAACCGTGCGCCCCGGCGTATTCATTGCGGAGACGCTGGGGTTGAAAGTGCTCCATAGAACCGTTCCCCGGACGAGGCAGGGGTTGCACCGGCGGACTGGGGGCGAGGTATCGGATCTGCAGCGCTGTGGTCTCACCTGCTCTCCGTTGATATACCAGGTGAGTGAAGCTGCCGGTCGACTTGGCGCCGATGTACAATTAATCAGCACCGGCTCGCCAATGCCGTACATGTCTTGTGCGCCATCAATCCGCGGTCCCTCCGACGGCAAATCTGCAGACAGTGGAAGCGTCAGGTGGTGCAAAGATAGTTCGCGTTTCTCGTTTGTTAGAACAGGTAGAACTTGGGGATGATCCGCTCTGGAAAGTTATGATGGTTGTGTATTAAAGTCTTTAGTGTGTCAGAGACAGCTCAGAGGATTCTTCGCCCACAGAAAAGGACACCAAGAATACTTGTAATCATACCACGGGACGAACGGAAGCTCATTGCTGAATGCATTTTAATTGCTCAAAGCTGAGGAGCTGGTTGATAACTTGGTGTATAATACATATATGTAAAGGCTGGTCTCACTCTCCTTTTATCAGCAAGTGCGAGCTAATTGGTGGGTGGAAATGAATATCGAAAAGAGCCAACTATCGGATCAATGCACGATATGTGCAGTTGAGCACATCTCAATTATTGGGATAACTGAATTTAGGTTTTATAATCCCATCGCTCGACCCTAACCTTATAGATGAAACCCAAAGGCCATTTGTGGCATATTACGGAGCTTTATCTGAGTCTCAGCGTCTTCCGTAGAGGACTGATGCCGGGTTGTTTGGTTTGGTCACTCCTCTCGCTTGGCGCCACGGATGCTTTTAGCGTTTGAAATATAGCTTTAGCCTTTCAGTGAAGGAAACGACCGACTACGATCGACTTACTCATCAGCTCAAGGCAAAAATATTCGAACGTCGTGGTCTGTGGCACTGGCATGATAACCACAAATGCATGCAGTTGCTAGTCTAGGATCAATAAATATATGAGAAATAAGGACATTCAATGCAAACAGTGAATTTTACTCGGCACTATCTCGTCCTTCAATGCCAGTTGCGTCGGAACGGATACAACGAATAAATGGGGGTGTCATTTTTTTGAAATCATAGAGTCTACGGCAAAATAGAACCAGTACCTTAGAGGCAAAATCTCAATAGCCGTTTTCACGACGGGCTATCCGGCGATTGCACCTAATTTGACCAAATCTGCACCTAATCTCTTTTACAGCAAACATCTTTATTTTATGTCTTTATTTCAGTGTTTTAATCGATGATACTCTCTGATAATATGAAAAGCAGGCATATAAGCAATTAGTGCAACCCTAGCTGATAGCTACTAAGAGATACCCTGAACCTAATTTGACCAAATCTGCACCTAATTTGCACCAGATGTGCACCAAATGTGTATCAGATGGCCGTCGTAAAAACGGCTAATATCGTCGTGGGGCTGGCACACGGAGACTCACCTATAACGGCCATATCACCGTGTCCCTGCACGGTGAAGTAACTGGGTGCCTCGATGGCGATCTCACAGCGGTAGCGACCGGCCGAGTTGAGCGGCACAGAGCGCAGAACCACCGTGGTGATGTTACTGGCAAACGTCTGTCGGGGATGGGGGTCATCGGGTCACCGACACTAGGTCAAAGTAGATATTAATAAGTCATCGTCAGAGGTCATGGTTAGAGGTCACCGGGTCATAGTCAGAGCTTATTGGTGATAGGAAAACAAGCCAAACCAAAAAGGAAAACTTGGCACGTTGTTTTAACGGTTATTCAAGTTCACGCCTGCCTGAAATTAAATCAAGACCAAAAACTATCTGCAGCCTGTAGGGTATCGTGATGCGATGTTACTCACATCCACGAAGATTCCGGGCTGGCTGAAGGTCTGGATGGAGGGGTTTTCGCCGGGCGAGAAGCGGTAGAACTCGTGGCCGTTTCTGTACCAGTTGACGGTGTAGACGGTCTCGCCCCAGTTGAGTTTGAAGAAGCAGGAGAGCATGGTGCGCGTGCCGGCCTGAACCGGGGAGGGGATACTTACCCGGGTCAGATGCAGACCGGCCGAGTCTGCGGAGAGAGAGAGAGAGAGAGAGAGAGAGAGAGAGAGAGAGAGAGAGAGAGAGAGAGAGAGAGAGAGAGAGAGAGAGAGAGAGAGAGAGAGAGAGAGAGAGAGAGAGAGAGAGAGAGAGAGAGAGAGAGAGAGAGAGAGAGAGAGAGAGAGAGAGAGAGAGAGAGAGAGAGAGAGAGAGAGAGAGAGAGAGAGAGAGAGAGAGAGAGAGAGAGAGAGAGAGAGAGAGAGAGAGAGAGAGGGCGGGTTAGGTCACGTCAGGAGAGGAGGCACTGAGGGGCATTGGATGATTTTCGTCCGAGCTCGAATAAAGCTGGCAAGTGGCAGATAGAGCTGCATATCATGCAAATGATCCGCGAAGCAAGTGTGTCATTTATTAGAAACACTGCGGCTTATTTCGCTTGAATCTGGCTGGGGGGATCCGTGCTATCGTAAGTTATATCGGACGTGGCTGCGAAACTTCTCTCGGTACGAAACTTCTCTTGATCGGAAGAAAATCGGAGGGATGAAAAAGAAAGAGCGGCAAATCGGAGCTACGTTGTACGTAAGTTGTTTCGCAGCGTTTAAATGCCAGTTTTACTACGATTTAAATGCCAAGCAGATCAGCTGACCTCGTAGTACCATGTCGATAAGGTCGAATTCCCCTTACGTCTATAGTGTAAAAGTGACCCTTATTGCAAATAGGCTGTCAGGGACATCTCCTCCTCTGTAAATTTGGAGGGATCATGTGTCGGCATTCCCATGTTCGTTTCGGAGTCCATCTGTTCCATTTGGAGCCCGTCAGTTGGCGTCAAGAGTTGGCGCAGCGAGCGCCCCGAAGACTGCGTCTGCGCACGAGGCTTCGCGATGGAGGAGTATTTTGACGAAATCGCCCTCGCTGCAGAAGAAATACAGGGACTTGTTGAGAAAGAGGAGGCCGCAGTGTGCCGACGACTTTAAACTGTACGCCAACGCCAAGACCAAGGCAATCAGGGGGCGCTCAGATGATCGGGAGGTTTCAATTGATCAGGGACCCACCAGGTGACCAGGGAACCCTCTGATAACCAGGGGTCCTTCCAGTAACCAGGGACTCCTTCAATAACCAGGGGCTTCTCAGTAAACGTGGGCCACTCAGGTTACTGCAAGAGACAGGAGTCCCTTATAACCAGGGACCGGCAAGGTCTCTCAGGTCCGTTTTTGACAAAGCTGTTATTGACGTCATATGCGAGCCCTTTCCCACCAGCAGAGGGCCCTTTCAAGCCTTGTTAGGGCCGTTTAACGTCTCTTGAGTTTCCTTTGAGGCTAGGGGCCTCTTCAGCAGCCGAGGGGTCTTTGAGGCCTTTTTGAGGGCCTCTTAACGTCAGCTGAGGACCGTTGGACGCCATCTGAGGACCGTTTGGTGCCTTCTGATGGCCAGTAGATGCCAACTGAGGGCTCTCTGACACCAGCTGAGGGCACGCTGACACCAAATGGGGGCCTCCTGACACCAGCTAAGGGCGCTTTTATATTTGACACGAGCTCAGGGCCCTTTGACGCCCTTTGAGACCTTCTTTGGTCCGTTTGACGCCAGCAGAGGACCCTTTGGGGTCATATGAGGGCCCTTTGCTGCCTTCTAAGCGGCCTTTGAGGCTTTTTGAGGGCCGCTTGACGCCACCTGAGGACCGTTGCGGTTGGACTCCAGTTACGGACCGTTTGAGGCCTTCTGATGACCATTTTGCGCCAACTGAGGGCCCTCTGACACTAGCTGGGGGCCCTCTGACACCAGATAAGGGCCCTTTAAGGCCTTCTGAAGTCCGGTTAACCCTCGCCCATGTAGGGGGGGGGGGGTTGTATCAACCCCCCCCCCTGAGGTTTTTTCGAAGTGCACGCTAAACGGCTTGTCGTAGCGGGCTGAAATTTTCAATACCCTCTGGGGCAACCTTTGCGCATCTTTTGCCGAAAAAAATTGATCGGGTCATGTCAGGTCACGGAGTTATGACGTCATAAGAGGTACAGCCTCCGGCCGGATTTTCACAAACTGAGTGCCAACGCCCGAGGTTTCCTGCCGGTGGTACGGACATCGGTTGATGGATCGTGATGAAACTTCCCATGCATGTTGGGGCAAGTATTGGCCATCATATGGTATAAGAAATTTGACCGGGTCAGGTCAGGTCACGGAGCTATGACGTCACAAGAGGAACAGCGTCCGGTACTATTTTTGAAAAGCGCCCGAACCACTATTTTGCTAATTCTTGTCACCTCAATGGGAATATGCAGCAATATTAGCTTATATAGGGAGCAAATGGACCTCCCAAATCCAAAAATACAATCAGATTTCAAAAATTTAAATTTTGATTTTTCGAATTTCTGCCGCCGACTGTGACCTTGCCGACTTCCGGCGCTCCCAACGCGCCATTTTTAGAGCTAGGGAAACGAAATACATACCAAACGATAGAGAATTGATCAAGAAACACGATAGTGAAGGTTTCAAGTCGATATCTCCCACCGTTTTGCCGCAATCGCCGCCGAAAGTTGAAAAAGTATTTTTCCGAAAATTTGACCTTTGACCGGTCAAAAGTAGGTCAAATGTTGACCTAGGACCAAAAAATATACCACCAATCGCGAGATCTCGGCGAGAGCAATCCGTTGGTCTTTTCCGCTAAGCTCTACGACGCTCCGTTTTCAAACGCCAAGGGGGGGTCGCACCAACCCCCCCCCCCCCTGCATGGGCGAAGGTGGCAGATCGCCGTTTACGGGCGAAGGTTAACGCTAGCGGAGGGCCTTTTGAGGCCAAATGAGGGCCCTTTGAGACCTTATAGGGGCTCCTTGAGACTTTTGAGGGCCGCGTGACGGCATCTGAGGACCGTTGTACTCCAGCTGACGACCGTTTGAGGCCTTCAGATGGACTTTTGGCGCCAGCTGAGGAGGGCTCACTGACACCAGCTGGGGGCCCTCTGACACAAGCTAAGGACTCTTTAAGGCCTTCGGAGGGTCGTTTGACGCGAGCTCAGGGCCCTCTGACGCAGGTTTAGGGCCTTTTGACGCCCTTTAAGGTCTTCTGAGGTAGGTTTAACGTTGGCTGAGAGCCCTTTGAACCCATCTGAGGGCCCTTTGAGGCCATCTTGTGGCGGCATGTGGCCCTTCATTTGGCCATCTGAGGGCCCTTTGACACCAGATGAGGGCCATTTGACGCTAACCGAGGGCCCTTCGAGACCATCTGAGGACCCGGTGACCCCATCTGTGGGCCCTTTGAGGTCTTTTGAGGGCCAGTGAAATTTCACCACAATACCCCTGGCTGCGCTACTGGGCATTTATGGACTCGTATGGGCCTGCTGGGGAACGGGATGGGCCCTCCCGGTCTTTTCAATCATTATTTCAGTTCATTTTACATGGTCTTCGGCGGTCTAAGGATTAGGGGCCCCAACTCGAATGGGGGGAGCCCCGTGTGCCCTCTCCTGTGTGCGGCCTTGCCGACACTACACCGCTTCCCCTCCCTCCGCCATAAACGCACCGCTGCACTGTTAGGCGCCGACAAATACGGACCGGCGCCGCAACCGGCTCCCCCGCGGCCTGCCTCGCGTTGACATAGCCCTTCCCGAACACCAGTGTAACCCCCACGCGGCCTAGGTATCGCCGCGCCCACCTGTCCGCGGCGCGGCCTCTGATGGCGTATCGGATCATTGATGGTGCGATACATGTTTTGGTCAGATTTTCGCAATTAATGCGAAAAATTGTCCAAAACACTTTTTAAATTTCAAAATTGAAAAAAGTGATTACAAAAATGACGTGAAAGTGACCGTTTTCAACGTGTAAATTTAAAACGCTCTAGCGCAGCCATTTTTGAAGAAATCGACTTCAAATTTTGCACACGTGTTCATCAACCATATTTGTTTAACATATATTTCGGTTTTGTGAAAAGTTTGAAAATTTCTTATATTTTTCTCTTGAGAAAGAGGTAAAGCTTCGCTACGATCGGCCTTCCGATCGACCGAGAAGATTCGTAAAGTTAGTTCGTATCTTCACCATTTGCGATACAACTTGCGTATCTACTTAGCCTACGATGTGATGGATCCCTCCAATATCTGTTCCGATTCAATTTACGTTTGATCGCAACTGCGAGGTGCCTTGCGATCACATGGATCCCCCCAGCCTTAGACTGCTCTGGTCAATGCTCAAATGGTCCGATGTCAAAGCCCCGAAAATCGCAGGGTAGGTGCTCCAGAGGCTTCATCGTTGGTAGGCATCATGCCGGCATGCGGGAGATCTGTGCCAATTGCAGCACAGCGTAGCAATTGAATGGAAGTGGTGAAAGAATCAAACATACATTATTCTATAAAAAAGGAATGTAATTATAACTACACTGGGTTGTTAAATTAGACTGAGTGGTTATAAAGCAAATGTTCAAAGCCGGCAGGCAAGTTCAAACTTAACTTGGCCCATGTGCTTCAATAAATAAATAGTTGACACGCAACGAACAATTGTGTTCACTTACAAAAATATGGTCGAACATAAGATTCATTTTTGCATAATTTATCAGAAAACATTTCTCCTTCCTTTCCTACAGCTACTGTTGATGCATTAAGACGTGAATTTATGCCACTAATACACGCCTTGCACGTAATAATCAACAGCACAAATGCTAATTTGGCATGCGATTTCCTCTGTGCCCGGGTAAGAGTCTCGTAATGGGGAATATGGTAGCTGTGTACGTCACTGCACGTGCACTTAGCTGTGAGCTATGAGCCCTTGACTGTCGGGGTGCATTTATCATGCCTTACAGCCGTGGCCACTTCAAATAATTGGTTTTCAACAATCACCTTTTTGAAACATGCTTGGCTTGACTAGGTCTACACTAGCATATTTGCAATTATACACAAATATACATACATACATGCTCACAACGGTCCGATGATCGGTTGGTAGATGCCATGGTATTTGCAGTTTGGATAGTGCAACAGTATTGCATCATATTCAAAAATATTTTTGCCTATAATTGTTGTACCTATATCACCTATCTGTGCCAACACAAGCACTCATCTCG